TGGTCAACAAATATCATATGGACTGCAGTTTTATAGATAATGCAAATTTGATACAATGTAACTGCATGATTGCAACATTAGAGATATGATACCCAGTATTGAAAAACCAGCATAAAAATTCTATGTGCAACATAATCCCAATTTGATCAAAGAAAAATATTTATAACCGAGTTTTCCCCCAATTTATACTTATTCCAACTTTCTTCAACATACCCAACTGGTATTGACATTCAACTGAACATTTGAAGCTGGATGCATTAAAGCTGTACACAGTCCACTTACAAGTAAGGATAAAATCAGAGGAACAACAGATAACGACATCAGGATGTTGCTGAGGGTACCAATAGTTGTACCTCTTCATTTTAGTATCAGATAACCTCTGTAAAAGTTACCTAGCTTTCTATTGTCTTGACATGTTCTTATATGAATATACAGCATATGCAACTGTTTGTTAGCTTCAAGCAAAATTTATATATATTTTTATCCCATTCTTCTTGATCATAAAAACATATAATACACTTAAATTTACAACCATATCTTTGAGAAAATGAACACATTTTCAATCAATTTTATGGGAAAAAAGCTAAAACTTGATCCACATATTACAAATCTTCAATGCACTCACCTAAACGTATCTGTAAAAATTACTGACATCCATAATGTTCCAAAACAACCAGCTACCTAAACAACATAAGAACATACTGAAACACCCTGGATGATGCTGAAAGACGATTGGACATCAGCAGCCATGGACTGACCAATGAGAAGTCAGATCTCACTACAAGGAAGTAAAATTCCTCTTCTTTGATCAATAGAATCAGTAGAGCACTGACAGAAAGCCCCTGGATCAATACTCACTACTGATGAAGACCTTCAAATGCTGCGGCCTGACTGATGCAATCACAAAAAACATGTTCTATAATTTATTTGGGTCTCTAGTGATCAATTTCTGATTTGATTAATTAAGCTTTTTTTTTCATCATTGGTTGAGATGTATAATTTTAAAATCAAGACATTCCAAAGAATATAATTTGTTTTCCTAAAGTGAAAACAAATATACATACAAAATGAACACAGACTGGAATACCCAATAGTTTCCAGGCAAGGAAATTAAAATTAAAAGTTTGAATCAATTTGCCATCACCTTATACTGCTTTCTAAAACATAAGAAAAAATGCTTTCTTATTAGAAATTGTATACCAGAGATGTGCTACAATATAAACTTGACCACCATCACTCTACTAGCATATTATACCAGGTTTTTTTTTCAGTTGTCCAATTTTTGTGGAATTTTGCAGATTAGACATATCAGTAAAAATGAAAGAAAATGTGAGCAAGCCCACATACCCCACGCTCCCTCAAAAGTCGAAGTGCTGAAATTCCTAGAAAAAATAAAGGAATCAGAATTTCCTGGTAATATGCTCATCTACACATTGTGTCCTAAATGTCTGCAAAGTTTGACGAAATTGTGTGAAGCAGTTTATGAGGAGTTGCGCTGACAAACTATTCATCTCTATATTCAAGATATAGCCAAAAATCTAAGTTGAAAAGTGCGGAAATTCCCAGAAAAAATGAAGGAATCGGAATTTCCTGGTAATATGCACATCTACACATTGTGTCCTATAAATATCTGCAAAGTTTGACGAAATTGTGTGCAGCGGTTTTACGTTTATGAGGAGTTGCGCTGACAAACTGTTCATCTCTATATAATCAAGATATAGCCAAAAAATCTAAGTTGAAAAGTGTGGAAATTCCCGGAAAAAGAAAAGATTTCTGAAATAAAAATTTCCTGGTAATATGCACATCTACATATTGTGTCCTAAATATTTGCAAAGTTTGATGAAATGTGTGCAGCGGTTTATGAGGAGTTGTGCTGATAAAAAAAACAGGACTGACACACTGACTGACGGACGGGTCAAAAACATTATACCTCACATAAGTTGCGTGGGTATAATTACAAGCACAAATAATCCTTCAATATTAATTCAAGATATTCTAAACATGCAGTCTTTGATAAGTATAGAGTACTTTTCAAGTCAACCTACATTTTGATTAACGAAAATGTTTTCAATATAGATTATTTAAGCACAACTTAAAGATAGTTGAATAAAATAGCATCTGCAGTTCTAATGCACAGTCAGTCAATGTCTTTAAAAAATAAATGAACTCAATCTAACATAAACATGGCAGTTTTTAGCAAATTCCTTAGAATATAGTGTTACTTTCCTGTAAATAATACATTGTAGTATTTACAACAGCAGATCTAAAAAGTCAGGAAATAAATTTGCTACTTTCCAGAAATCAAATCACAAAAATTTCTGCCTGCAGAAAAATCCCTGTTTTTTTTAAAGATATATTTCTTTGTTTTTGAGAGGTATGGGTGATAAATAAAATGTTAAAGGCTAAAGAAGCATGTATTTTAAAGAACATTGACAACAGGTGGTAAAACTCAGCACTGAGATCCTTCATTATGCAATCAACTTCGGAAAATTCATATTACTCATTCTGGTTCTGAGAAAAACACAAATAATAATTATACACATTTATCTCTATATCAATATTAATCCACAAACTGCTGACTTGCTTTTTTGCAAATTTATTTTTGGAACCTTTTTGCTTTTCCATAACTTCTCTATACTGCTTTTCAGTGACTGGTTTTTACTATGTTATGTGTTATTTCATTTTTTGATACTTCCATTCCACAATTTTACAGGGTCCTACTTTGCAATTATCATCAATCAGCTAGCTGCTGATATTTACCTGTATTTCCCATTAGTATTCTACTTGGTGGAGAGTACTTACCAACATGGCGGTAAAATTAAATGATTCTCGCACTTCACTCTCGTTATTGATAGGTTTTAGATATTTAAAACAATATGAAAATTGTCTATTCAGATACGAAATGGAGGAACAAATGGATTTACATACAGAAAAGTGAATGTTTTAAAGAATGGGAATGTGTCATACCGATGCAGCATTAGTAAAATCTGCAAAGCCACGATTACAACTGATGCTAAAGAAATTGCCATGGTAAAAATCGTCGAACAATACTCACAACCACCTCAGTAATGAGATCCTACTGACTGCTTAAAATCCCACTTCCACTTTCCAGTAGTAAGCATGGGACAACAGGTTTTACCTAGCTAACGGAGGGGGAGTGAAAAAAAATTCGCAGAAAAGCTAAAAATTAGTACCACGGAAAAGCAGGAATTTTTTCACAGAATAGCAGTTTCAAATTGCAGAAAAGTGAAACTGAGTCACAATCTTATCCGAAGCTCTACAAGAGAGGGGGTGGGGCAGGATTTAAATGACAGAGGAGGGGAGGAGGCAACAGAAACAAAAGACATTTTGTGGTTGTAATACAGCATACTACTTTGACTTCATTTATTTTTAGAAACTAACAATCTTATTTCTTTAACACACATTAAAAACATCAACAATATTCAATATGGCCCTAGGGTTGGAAATCAAAACAAAAAAGTGTGCATATATTTTGATATTCCTTTCATTAATTTTTTATTTGTTTACATACGATATTAGTTCCACGTATTGATATGTATTTTTTTTATATTAGGTGTTCAAAATTAACGTTGAACATACTTATATTTATGTCTTTGATAACCACGTGTGTTGTTTCAACACGTTGCAGAACAAATATTTAAAAGTACAACACCTGATGACAGACACTGATAAGTATAGACCTCTCTCATGTCTGTCAAAATTATTGACATACGTAATCAGTGACGATAATTCCGTTAAAAAGTCTTGAAGATTATAATTTACTTTTAATATACCCCGGAAGCGAGTAACTTTATCTCCACTTCCTGGTTGCGTAGGTAACAAGAACTTCTAGCAATAAAAAGTTTCATTGAATGAATGAAACGGCATAAAAGTTTGTTATGAGATTTTGACAGTTATTTATCTCCAATCTCAGTTCAATAGTTTACCTGCTAGGATCAAAAGATCAAGGTTGCTCTTTGTAGTTGAACTTGCTGCCATTTTTTGATAGGGTACCAATTCTATCCGCGCATGAAGGTGAACATGCCGGAAATAAACTTGGAGAAGAAAATAATCCTTCGGATTTCGTCTCATTCTTTTAATTCTCGAACATATTTTTCAAAATGGGTGTATGTTATGAATAATTTGCTACATTAAAAATATAAAGAATCACAACTTCGTAAGAAATAATGGAAATTAGTTATTTGTGTTTGTGTTTTTGTTGGAACACGTTGGGCGCGGAGTGATTTTTTTCCCACCGCTACCAGGTGCGCTCGGTACACTGATTACAATACACATTTCCGGCTTCCAAGAAAGAGTTCTAGTTACATGATGTTCATCCATTCACATTTTCAAACACTGAACAATCTTTAAATATAAACAAGCAGAATCTCAGTATCTTATTATTTAATAAATACTGTTTAAAATAAATAATTTTGCTACCGAAATTCACTCAAGTAGTCCGTAAGGCTTCTGCAGATTTTTTTTTTTTTGAAATTCCCTGATTTCCCTTAAAATCGGACGCAATGATGCTCAATATTAACAACTTTCTCCTAATATTTATACATGGTTCCTTAAAAATTTTTATGGCACTTCAAGAACCTGATTATTGACGATTTCTTCGGTAATCTAGTTAAGGTTTTGTAAGAGTTATCTTTCTTACTTCACTTTGACTGGATTCAGAAGTAGTTTCTCAAGTGGCTACTAACTTGAAAAGCAGCAACAATAAGTGGTTTCCTTTTAAGCCGTATTTAGATTATATTCAAAGGAAACAATCCACACTCTTGACATAATTTATGTAGTGTTGTAATGCTAGATGACGGAGACTGAAATCATGAGAGAATCCTTATAAACGGGTGCAGACAGCGAGTTTTTGTTTTTAGCATATAGTTATTTCAGTTTGAAATTCATTGACATTCACTAAAACCAAGCTTGCATGTTTTATTTTTCTGAATGCTAAACTTAAGATATAAAATATTTCATGTGCTATACACTGGACCCACCTGAAAGATTAGATTTCCATCGGACACGTTTCTTGAGTTTCCTTCGCTGGACATACTCTTCCTCATCGGTGTCCATGCTGTCAGAAGAGTCAGAGAGAAGACGTTCATTAGCCACGACATCATCCCTGTACTCCTGGTAGAATTTGGCACATTGATCCAGAGAGGGTTCCTCACTGTAGTCGTCAGCCAGAGCGTGAAGTCTCTCACTGATCAGGTCAGACAGGATTCCAGGCTCCGGTATCACAATCACCGAGGGACCCGGGTCCTGCAATTAAAAATCACAGGTATAAAAGTCACACTACAACAGAAAATTACAGGTAGAACAATCACTGAGGGGCCAGTACTAATAGCAAGTAACACAATCACTGAGAGACCGTGGTCCTACAACAAAAAATTACAGGTATCAAAATGATACAATCACTGAGGGACCCGGATCCTACAACAAAAAAATACAGGTATCAATGATACAATCACTGAGGGACCCGGGTCCTACAACAAAAAAATTACAGGTATCAATGATACAATCACTGAGGGACCGGGGTCCTACAACAAAAAATTACAGGTATCAATGATACAATCACTGAGGGACCCGGGTCCTACAACAAAAAATTACAGGTATCAAAATGATACAATCACTGAGGGACCCGGATCCTACAACAAAAAAATACAGGTATCAATGATACAATCACTGAGGGACCCGGGTCCTACAACAAAAAAATTACAGGTATCAATGATACAATCACTGAGGGACCGGGGTCCTACAACAAAAAATTACAGGTATCACAATCACTATAGGATTCAGGTCCTTCAACAGAAAATTGAAGGTTTAATAGTCACAGAGAGCTAGACTAAATTGTACTAATCACAAGTATCACAATCACTGAAGGACCTGGGGGTCATAACATAAAGACTACTTAAGTCTAAGATCGTGCTTAAGTAGGACTTAAGTACAGTCTAAAACTTAAGACCGTAACTAGAAGCGTACTAAGATTTGGCAATCTTAGCAAAACTTAGGCGACCGGTAGAGGTGACTTAAGTATATCTTAACTTTCTTGTACATGTATTTAGACTTATTTACTGTTGACTTTCGATGTTAAAACATTACTCTATTCATATTATGCATTAAAGAAAATAATTATCTCTATTTGACGCTGATTTAAGAATTTTATGTTTTCGTTGTGGGGGGGGGGGGGGGGGTCAGTGATTACAGTATCACTTCCAACGCAGCGTACATGTAAATACAAAGTTTAAATTTTGGAGGTACCTCTGCAAATAGTCTATTAGTGAGAGAGAATTGCTGATAAGTGGAGACATAGAAAAAAATCCTGATTTTTTTGTATCCTTGATTAAATTGCAAATGAGTATATCATAAAACTTCCACAGTTTTTGCTTCTGACATGCATGGCCTGATACATGTACATGGGGGATTCAAAATGTATTAGACTTTTTAGAGTTTCAATTTCAAGTAGAAAGGCGGCCGATTATCTTTTCTTGTCTGCGATTATAACAGGGTAAGTGAACATTTGTCAAAACAAGAGTTACAAAAGGTACACTGAAAACATCTCAGGTGATAAAACAATTGTCGAACATTTACAATTAACCACAAATTGCTTGTTTCTGACCGTGCGGTATTTGATTTCAAACATTCCGAATAATTTATAACATAATTATTATTTTAATACGAAATCTAATCTAACATACTTAAACCGATAGCTAAGGACGTCAACTTTAATATGTAATTAATTAAAACCCTAACTTAATCACTTTTAGCAATATATCTAAATAAAATCAAAAACCGTAGATCGATTCATATGAAATATTTTTTAAAAAAATTTAACTTAGCTAAGACCTCGCTAAGTTTGCTTTATGTTACGGTTTAAGACATACTTAAGTAGTACTTAGACAGGTCCTAAGATTATGCCTAAAACGTACTTAAGACCCTACTAAGTCAAAAACTTAGCAAGCTTTATGTTACGAGCCCCTGATTCCTACAAAACAGAGGCCTGTTCAGCAGAGCGAACATTCGCATGTGCTCCCCAAAATTCCTTATACCTCCAACAGTAATTCTGGCGAGCGCTCGCCAATGTTCGCTCTGCTGAACAAGCCTCAGGTATAAAAGTGAGGTCCAGCTACAGAAAAATGCTCTAACAGTCACTAAGAGACTTGATGCTAATCACAAGTATTATAATCCTGAGGGATCCAGATCCTACAATAGAAAATACAGGTTTGACTCACTAAGCGACCTGTGTCCTACAATAGTAAATTATTGGTATAAAAGTCCATTATTAGCCACCCAGGTCCTATACCAGAAAATTACAGGTTATAGAAGAAATCAAAGGTATTAAAGTCACTGGGGGACAGGTCCCTACAACAGGAAGTGGATCTTACATTTTACACATATCAAATGTATTTGAGTTATTTAAGGGAGGCATAATTGAACAATAATTGATGTTGATTTATCATTGCAAAGGCCAGTAGTTGAAAATTATATAAAGTTAAATCATAAATTTCATTTAACCACATAATGCTGTCCTAAAGTTCTGATAAAAAATGCATGTAAAAACTCTATCATGTTATAGTACACTGTCTTGGGTTTGAATCCCTATGTGGATCATGGAGACTGGTCCTTTGGATGAGACTGTATATAAACTGAGGTCCCGTGTAGCAGTAGGTGCTGGCATGAAAAAGACCCCTACCTGCTCAATGGTTCTGAGTGTCGAGCATAGGACAAAATTCGCAGCTCTCCACCAGCAAGTGATGGTGTCTCCATATGAGTGAAAAATTCTCGAGAGGGACATTAAAACAGCATACAATCAATCAATTTATATAATACACACAAACCTATATTAGAAGGCTTTTCTTGACAGTTTCAAAGAAGAGCTAGGTTATATTCTTCTGTTTGCATCTTAGTTTAACCCATTATAATCATGTTAACCTTGTAAATGACAACTAAAAATATTAAAAATGTAAGAACACATACTGCAGTTCCCTACTACATGTAGCAAATATTAACCAGACATGTTGTACAATGTATTAGAAGTGTAAAATTTTTACAAACTTCTGTGATTAAAAAAAAATTTAAATATTCTGAAACTTATAACACTGCTTAAATGTTCTTAAATGATTTTTCACTTTGGGATTAATTTAAGCTTTCTTCAAAATGAGAATATATATCTCAATACTATTTTGTCTTGTGTAGATCATATCTAAGTTATCTATCCTTCAATGCTAATACGTCTTGCTATTCACATACCTAAGTTATTGCAGCCCGGAGGACCGGGCTGCTCTATACATATAAGTTTAAGTATTGTGTATGGGGATTGGGGTGGGAGTAGTTATTTAGAATCAAAGGTTTTCTAAACATTGAAAAGATTGTTAATCAGAATGTTCTTTCCATTTATAAATTACGAGATACATAATATATTTACAACCCTATAAAAGTGAATCTGTAAAAATATATACATTTTTCATATATAAAGTTGCTTATCATTTACTATCGAAAAAACGACAGGTCCCTTTTTTTAGAACATCGAATTTTACTTCTCGGATAAAAACGTACTCTGCACAGTTCGTGTTTTATATTCTGAAATTGAAAATTAATACATTTTTAAATATAGGTGATGCGTGTGTCTAACTTCAATTTATATGTTATGCAGCCAACATTTACTTGAGGAATTGATCAAGTTTAAAATGATATCGTTTTGATTGATTTTTATCCAACTACAAGTTTTCAAAATATTTGCGACTATCGTCTCAATCAATTAGACGCATGCCTTTTCACACATATCGAAGCGGTTTGATGATCAAGACTCATTTCCATTGTTTACTTTATTCATTTCCCGGGCGACAATTGATGGTTACATCAATTAATGTTTTCTTGTCTCCCTTTGTTGAAGGAATTCTAATGTTCACTCATGCATTTTAGACAATGTAAACAGACACAATTTCTAAAATTTTTGCTTCCATCTAAAATTTTAATTAATATTTTTAAAAAGTTTGCAAGTTAGTTTTTTCAGTATCAGAGAAGAATGGCATCTTTCACTCAGGAAATGTCAATTAAATTAAGGCCTCAGTTATTAAAATACTATGGAAGTAAAAAAAAAATTGAAAGCAGGACAATATCAACTTACAATTCTGTCCATGCTTGACACATCGATATCTTCACTGGACATAAGAGAGATTCCATCGAGAAAGTCATCACTGTCTGAGTCGGACTCCGGACACGATCGCAGCGAGCTCAAATCCGCAACTTCTGTGGGTAAAACATCCACCATCATCTAAAAATAGTTCAATGATTCTCATGACTTCTTTTATCACAATCAGTACAAGAGCATTAGTCTACATCATAGATGTAATCCCAGACATGTATACAACTGACTTCACATGACAAATGTTAACCTACCCCGCAGTCTAAAATTGGTGTCATGTACTCGAATGTCGGAGCAAATTATATGATTTTATAAGTCCTCCTCATTAAAAATTAATAAAACACTATAATTGATATCAATAACACAAGTTTAATAACAACTTTTTTGTAGTCCTAAACTCAGCAACCTTATCATAAAGACTAAGTTATGAAAAATGACAGAATAAAATGATTGTGTTTGTTAATTGATGCAACAAGCAACAGGTTTTGAGATTTAAATTATTTTTTTTATGAAAGTTAGAGTTCAATTATTTTCTCTAATGTTAGATACCAACTGGAAATTGTTAAGCTTATATATAGGCATCTGATTCTGTTTAAAGCTGGGGTTCTTTACTATAAGTCTATAACACATGTGGTCATTTATTTCATGGTTCAAACAACCGGTTGTAAAAATAAAAATATTTGTTCAAGTCTAACTGAGATAAAGATATGGGAAAGAATGCGCTGACCTTATTAGCATCAAAGTAAACAAATAGAGAATTTAGAAATTTAAATGTCTCCCTATCATAACCTCAGCCTGAATTTCTAATACTAGTATGTGTGTAATTTTATGATAGAATAACGAGGAGTTAAAGTACAGCTTTCATTTTACAATCGTAAAGAGCATTGCAAAGTACACTTCAAAACAAAATAACGAGTGCACTAGAATTTAAGCATACATTTTAAACAAAAATTTAATACAACTTACGCGTGTGTTAAATAAAGCAATTAAGAACAGGGATATCATAGGAAGATTAATAATAAGTGAAGATTATGAAATAAAAACGATCTGCTTGCCCTTCAAGCATCATTCTCAAGGGCATTCACTTTTTCTTAACTTTAAGGGAATCTTATAAAGGTAAAAAAAAAATTACATAGCAAGGTTAAAAGGGACACAGGTATAAAAGAATAAAGAGTGCCCAGTTCTCTCCTGCTTTATTACACAGACCAACAGCATATAAATGCAGAGCTGGTCACCGGCAACCTAGACAGGATAAGGTTACAGAGCTCAGGCAAAAAGGGACAGAGTGGACTTCTCAAGCATTGTCTGTGAATAATTTGTCTGTTCTATAACCCACACTTAATATAAAAGCTTGTTAGGACTTCACAAACAACATATGATGTAAAGAAAGTACCATTCTAAAGGAACTGAAGTTTCATTCTTATGAAACATTTAGCAGAGTACCTAGTACATGTGATACTTTTTCCCAAGCTGTTCTGAAAGAGGTCTTTTCAAAATGAAGTTCAAATGCAAATGAGTAATTTTGCACTTCATGACTCATAAAATAATAAAAAATAATAGAATGTCAGACTCAGTTTTTCTCTCTTAAACTTTTGCTGTTCAGACACAAATGACAATGTTTCATACATGGAAAAAATAGAATAAAAGAAGTACTAAATCATAATCAGTAAACAATTTCATAAACATCTAAAATTCACAAACATTCTTCATATTAATTATGTTCACATATATCAGTTTTTAAATGCTTTTAAATTGTTTATTGTTTCTGCTTCAGAATCAACTAAAGGCAAATGTTTCAAAGAGCAAAGTAGAGTACATGTATTGTACTAAAAAAAATTATTCCAGGTGGTGCTCTGAACTTTAGAGGCAATTTTGATCCAGGCATCTTCACATACTACATGTATACGACAGCATAGAATCTGAGTGGACAGCAACCCCAAGAAGCTGAAATATCTACAGGCATTCAGAAGAAAGAATACTTTGAGAAGATGTAGTGAACAAGAAGCATCTCCAGGTATATTGTTGAAATAACGTTTCTCCAAAGAGTTCAAAAGAGACCACCTTCAAAGGATGCAGTTTGGACAGAGCTCCTCCAAAGAATGCAACATAGAGCACCTGTAGAGGATACTGTAAATCACTTTTTATTTGCGAGAACTTTATTTTCGCGTAATTATGCGAGACAGTGTGCTCGCGAAAATTTAATTCTCACGTATAATAGTATTCCTTAAGAATATATTGAGCAATACCCACAATTCTCGAAAATTTTGTCTCGCTAATCAAGGGTCAATGACTATCTCGTGAAAATAAGGTGTCGAGAAAACTTAGTGATCTAGAGTATATTGGAAAGAGCACATGTAGATAAAGCAGTGGAATAGAACACAGTAATTGGTGGACGTTGTATCTCCAATGGATGCAAAAAGCAAAGCACCTTTTGGGGACAGAGAAAGAGCACTTTTATTGGGTACAATGGACAAAGCGCCTGCAGAGGATGCAGTGGACAGAACATCAATAGAGGATGTTTGGGACAGAGCATCTACTAGCAGATGCAGTAGACAGTGAAGCTTTAGAAGATTCAGTGGAAAAAGCACCTATTGAGGATTCAGTGGAAAAAGCACCTATTGAGGATTCTGTGGAAAAGCACCTAGACAGGATTCTGTGGACAGAGCACATATAGAAAACGTACTCAACAGAGCACCTATAGAAGATTTAGTGGACAGGGCACATATATAGGATGCAGTGGATGCTGTTTTTGGACATAGCACCTGTTAAGGATCTAGTAGACAAAGCACCTCTAGCTGACAGTGGACAGATAACCTATACAGAATGTAGTAGACAGAGCACCTCCTATGGATACAGTGGACAGATATAGGAGAAAGAGCCCCTACAGAGAATGGGGATAGTCATACATGTAAACACATATCATAATGATGCTTCAAAAAGTTCCAGGGCCACTGCTTTAATGAATAAATTGATGAAATAATTCCTTGTTGATACATGATGTATGTCTCCCCTATAAAAGTACATATTATATATTTTCCTGGAAATGTGGAAACATGCAACTGTCTGTTGTGTATATTTAGGTTTCACAATGGATCTATTGATGAATGAAAAAAAAACAAGTACTTCTTTAATGTGATACTGAAAAAACAAGATGTGTTTGTGAAATACTCTACCTCCGATGGTAACACAATTCTCGAGTGGGACGTAGGCTAAAGTAGTAAACACTTGTAAGATGTTTTAAGGGTAGCAAAGGTCAAAGGTCACAGTTAAGGTCACTTGATCAAAAATTTCTGTACCAATAGAAAGGTCTTGTCATAATGAACACTCATGTCAAATATTAAAGCCTTACCCTTGACAGCACAATAATTATGGGCTAGGTTAAAGTTGACAAAAGACAGACAGACAAACAGACTGACAGGACAAAAACTATACCTATGGGATCTTTGATCAAGGGCATAAAAAACTGTTGCACATTTGAACTTGTTTTGTACAAGTGATACAATATCATGGTCACATGTAAACATACATATAGTCTCAAAGTGTTTTAGCATGAGCCTGTACTGTCTTATGACTGTTAAAAAAATAGTTTCTTTTCTGATTTTATTTTCATCTGTAATTAAATACTCATGATTTGTGACACAGTTTATATATATCTTTCTCTCTGCGCTATGTATATATCCTGTAATTTTGTAATACAGATTACAGATCAAGATCATGTTTTCCTGTCTTCTACCCAAGCAAAAATATTCATTCTTTTATATTCTGGATAATACAATCCTAGATTAGAACAAATTCATTCTATTAAAATTCCCTCCTATTATCTACTATTTGATTTAAATCTTCTGATAATAAAGGAAAGTAGACAATTAGTGTTAAAACTTTTAAAATATTTTTTTAGTGCCCCAATAGTTTGACAAACTTCCTTCAGCAATGTTAGAAGGAAAAAACTGAGAAACTTTTCACTTGTATTACCCAGAATGTGTTGACCATATCAGAAACATGATTTTTTTTTGGTTGTTATATACTGTACATGTATTACTTATGTATGTTCCACATCATTACACAGGTATGCAATCCAGGTGATCTGTATCAGGTACACACATACCTTACCTGGGAATTACAGACAGTTGCATAAGTGCAGATTAATGCATAATAATTCAAACACAATGACCACTTATCTAATGTAAACTTGTTTTACACAGAATTCCCTATCTATTACATAGGCATCAAATACACCTACCCTATTCACCTCAACTGTATCCTTTTTAATTTGCAAAGGAAATCCAGAATATACTGCCAAATCTGACTGTAGAAAAAGCCTATTTTCACTTGAAATATTCACATAAATATTGCAAATGACACATTGCAAAACAAACTTTGTGCATTGCCAGGTAAACAGTGACTGCAGTCGTCTCTATCAGACATTTACCTGGCCGATGACATACCTGAGCCTGCTGTGAGAGGATTTTCCCTATGTGACCTAATTCACATGCCTCTGTTGGGATCTTCACCACACCCTAGAACCACTTGAGCCTCTGATGTTGGATATTTGTTTTATACATCTAAATCATTGACCAAGTTCCTAACACAGCAATAACTCCACAACAAGATAGGAGACAACAAGACAACACAATCCTACCTCAACTAGTAAAATTATCATTCCAAGTCATTCAAAGGGTCCATTTAAAAATATAAAGAGGAATCCTTACATTTCACCTGACCTTTCATAACACAAGGAAAAATAACTACTAAATATAATGAAAATGTCTACAGATAATGCTTAAATAATATAATGTATACTGGTTAATTTAACCTAAGCATTAGGGCTGCTACTTCTAGAAAGAGATGTAAAGTAGACATAATACCTACATGATGTACGGTAATGACTAGCATCAGCTTTTTGACAACTACTAATAACACAATATTAGAGAAGTATTTATGGCATTCTCCCAAGCCACTGTGACAAAATGATATTGAAACGACACACCTCAAGTCTCTGGTTTAATGTACTGGGTTATCATGGTAGAATTGATTTCACACATGCATGCTGAACTGACATCTGCGCTACTACAGAATGTGTGTTTGAAATATAGAGCATGCTCTCAATAAAAGTAGAATACAGAAAATGC